ATACCTCATAGCTTTAAAAAAACAATTATATGCACCATGATAATCAATTCCCCAAGTCATCAAATCGGTTCGAACTCATCATGGGAATCGGTTCCCCAAGTCATGAAATGGGTTCCAACCCATCCCAAAGCCATTCATGGACTCCTTCTCGGACCAAACAAAGTTTTCCTGGTTTCTCAATGGACTCGCCACCCTTTCAGCAAATGGGGTTGCTGAATTTTTCAACATGTCCAAGTGAAGGAGCACATCCACTGAGCCAAACATCGATTATGCAATCGCACATGCCAACGGGCACCATCGCAAGCCACCACCTGCACCACCAAGGACCCGCCACAACCACCACCTCACGCACAGCTCAGGGAACGAAACCATTGTTCAATGGCTTTCAGGGAAGGAATGATAGTATTGTAAAAGGCACATACATACCTTCAAAACCCCTCACTTGAGCGAGGATAACTCAATCCCAACATCCGCAAATCCATCTTTCCTTATCTTTCCAAATCAAGAACAAACTTATCAGTCGTCATTCCATCCGTTTCAATACAAAAAGGAACACAACATTAATGTTATTATATTCTATATTAAAAAGAATTTACTTGATATTAGTCGTCTATAAGAAAAAAAATTAACTTCACACTTACTAGAAAATCATTTAACTATGCTAAAATTTACTAATCTCTTGATATTTTTGGTAAAATGAAAATATATTTGTAATAATTTAACATAATACCAGACATTAATTAAAATTAAAATATTTTTAAAGGAAATAAAAGAAGATAAAAGCGTTTGTAATAAAATATTATTATTTTTCTTATAAATAAAACGAAATACTAACGTTTTGATAGATGTAAAAGAAAAAAACAAGATAGATTTGATGCACAACATGATCGTTACCTTATATAAAACATCCGTCTTTTGGATAAACATATAAAAAATAAATGAAAAAAATCCCTTATATATATATATATTAAATCAATCATGTGGAATATTTTATATCATTCAAAAATTATTTTTAATAATTTTTAACAATAAAATATTTATTAATTTTATTTTTCTATATTTAACTTTAAGTATTTCCTCATATGGATTTTGCACCTGTTTTTTACTTCATATATACACTTTCCATATAAAGTCATGGCAAAAGTGGCACCTTTTAAAATATTTATTACAGAAATAATAATTTAACATACAAGATAATATATAATTAAATAACAATATAAAAAATTTACAATAATAGTAGTGTATATTTTATTTCATTGTTAAAAGGGTAATAACAATTTTTATTCTTTATTCAATGAAAATTTGAATTGTTGGTATATTACATTATTTCCATAAACGATAAAAAATATGTTTTTCCGAATTGGAAGTTGATATTATCCAATTTATAAGTTAATGTTTTTCGTATCATATTTAACAGCGTAGTTTATTTTTCAAGCGTTTTTAGTTTTGTCCAATTTATCTCTGAGCGTGTCGGAGGCAGGAACTCAACTCAACTGCTGTAAACAGCGATTATGTTAGAAAAGAAAAAGTATTAAATATAAAATAAATAGCACAAAGAAGAGAAAATAATATTATTTTATTATTATCATTATTTATAAGTGTGAAAGATGTATCTAAAACACGTCTTTCTTACTTTCTGGGTTCCTTTGCTTTCATCTTCTTAAAAACAAAACAAAGTAATGATTTTGTTTGTAAACCTCGATCCGAGGAGACAAACAGCCGCCACTCTCTAGCATCCATCCTCTGTTTATGCGGCATTTTGCAAACAACACCTTTCGCTGATTCGTTTCAGGTGAATTCCCCAAATCTCGTGCCAACATGGGGCAAGACAATCACCACAAGCGCAGCACCAGCGCCGGTTTACCCACCTCCAACGCCCGAGGCCGCGCCACCGGGATCCCCCGCGGCCGCCAGATCCAGAAGACCTTCAACAACATCAAGATCACTATGCTATGCGGCTTTGTCACCATCCTCGTCCTCCGCGGCACCATCGGCGTCAATCTCGGCTCCTCCGATTCCGACGCCGTCAACCAGAACCTTATCGAGGAGACCAACCGCATCCTCGCCGAGATCCGATCCGACGCCGACCCCTCCGATCCCGACGACCAGCAACCCTTCAACCCCAACGCTACCTTCACCCTCGGCCCCAAAATCAATAATTGGGACCAAGAGCGCCAAAATTGGCTCACTCAAAACCCTGAATACCCTAATTTCATCAGAGGTAAACCTCGCATCTTGCTCCTCACTGGTTCCCCTCCCAAACCCTGTGATAACCCTATTGGAGATCATTACCTCTTGAAGTCCATTAAGAACAAGATTGATTACTGTAGATTACACGGGATTGAAATTGTGTACAATTTGGCTCATTTGGATGTGGAACTTGCTGGCTACTGGGCAAAGTTGCCTATGATTCGGAGGTTGATGTTGTCACATCCCGAGGTTGAGTGGATTTGGTGGATGGATAGTGATGCTTTTTTTACTGATATGGTGTTTGAGCTTCCCATGTCTAAGTACGATGCTTATAATTTGGTTCTTCATGGATACCCTGATTTGTTGTTTGACCAGAAGTCTTGGATTGCGGTGAATACTGGGAGTTTTCTGTTTAGGAACTGCCAGTGGTCTTTGGATTTGCTTGATGAATGGGCTCCCATGGGTCCCAAGGGGCCGGTTCGCGAGGAGGCAGGCAAGATCTTGACGGCCAATCTCAAGGGGAGGCCGGCATTTGAGGCCGACGATCAGTCTGCATTGATATACTTGCTGCTGTCCCAGAAGGAGAAGTGGATGGATAAGGTGTTTCTTGAGAATTCGTTCTATTTGCACGGTTACTGGGCAGGGTTGGTTGATCGGTATGAGGAGATGATTGAGAAGTATCACCCCGGTTTGGGTGATGAGAGATGGCCGTTTGTGACACATTTTGTCGGCTGTAAGCCCTGTGGGAGCTATGGAGATTATCCTGTGGAGAGGTGCCTCAGTAGCATGGAGAGGGCTTACAATTTTGCTGATAATCAGGTGCTTAAGCTCTATGGTTTCAGGCATCGTGGTCTGTTGAGCACCAAGATCAAGAGGATCAGAAATGAGACTGTTACTCCTTTGGAGTTTGTAGACCAGTTTGATATTCGAAGGCATTCTACGGAAAGCAAGGGATTGAAGAGCTAGTAAGAAATGCTGTTCAATGGTGGTATTATAGACAGAAATTATTTAGAAGTGAAATTTCATTTGGGGACAGTTCACATGTAACTTCTGCTTTTTCTGTTGTCTTGGTACTTCTTTTGAGAATGTTAGGATAGAATTCTTTCGTAATTTATCTTCTTTCTTATCAGTTTGAGCAATCAGCAAACAAATTTTATTTACTCATCTGCTGTATACTGAGCTACCTTTGTATTTGGGCTTATGTGACATTAAATCAATTCACGAACTTAATATACTTCCATGTCCTCTTGATATCGTTGTGATTTGTATAACATGAGGTAACCACCACTTTCTGTTTCTGATATATTTGATCTGCAGATCTCAAATGTGTGTTTCCAAATTCGAAGAGAAAGCAAAGGAAATAAGGGTATGATATTCAACAATGGAAGTTTGTGATAATTTGTCTGAATTATGATTCGAAGTAAATTTTTATGATATATTTGGGCAATGTTTTGGATTCGTAACCTTAATGGTAACAGAGAATCCAGAATGTGAGGAGTGACATGTAACAACAGGATAAATATCATATCCCCGACGCACCAACATCTTTTAACTGCAAAAATGTTTTGTCTTGGAGCCAAAAAGGTATCATTCATAGTGACCAATAGAGCGGCTTGATAGGTGATTATCGTATCTCACGAGGCGCTGCTTTCTTGCACGTTAATTTTATCGTATTTCTTTGTCAGATGCTACAGCTTTCGTTCCGATTATACATTCTGCGCACTCTGCTGCTGTAGGTACAGAGATAAAACATTGTATTTTCTTGACGAGTTGTTTTCACCTTCCGATAATTTTTTTCTCTTCCCATTTGCGAGTAACACAGACCTGAAGAAAACAAATACTTTGGACAGGTTATCATTTATGGCTGATGAGCAAAGAATAGGAACATACTATTACATATAATATGATACAGAAGTTCTAATATTAGGCTATTGCCTCATTCTTTGGTACTATTTTTTTTTACAACCTCATTGTCATTTGTGAAAATTATATGCTTACTCCAATAAAATAGAGGGTTAATGAGATTTACATAAATTTTCACTTAACAATACAGCATCAAAAAGAGTATGAAAGTACTCTTGCTGGTATGACGGTGATGGTAACTCAACAATCTGAATTTAGTTGGATTTTTTTAAGAGATTCCTAACACCACATGACTTATCTCTGTATCCCTATCGTTTTCTCTTGCAAGTTATAATTGCAAATTGAGTCAATTCATTATTGGTGTCGCCTTCATTGTCCTAACAAATAATTGCACAGTTGTGGTTTGATTAAAATTCAACTCCTTCTTTGGTAGAGTAGAGATTGCAATGAGACCCGTAGGTTTTTTTATTATATTTGTCCCATTTTTTAAATAAAAAGTTATACTTATTATTATTTTTAATCAAATAATGTATTTATTCTGACGTGTATCTGTCTTAATTTTTATTAAATAATTTTAAAATAAATGAAAACTGAAACAAATAAAATAGAATATTAAGAACATTTTAATTTTAAAAAAGATATAAACTTTTTTGTCTTAAATAATAAATAAAAATTTAAAAGTTATAATTAGGTACATTTTAAAACAAAGTATCAAATTAACTAAAAATATTTTAATAATTAAAAATGATGACAACTATAAAAATTCAAGTATTATTCATACACATGTTCCATCCGAATATTTTAGTCAACATTGGGTATTTCCATTAATACTCGATACCAATGAATTTGGATTTACTTATCAGGAGAGGAAAGAAGGTTGTTTGATGTTGGGGTGAAGGGATGAGAAAGATGTTACATGCAAATCTACTATTTCACATCTTCATATATCACTATATATTTTCAATCAAATTACTTATATTTCTAACCATTTCCTATTTATCTCAGTTATTTCTACTCCAACAAACAACTACACATTTAATTTTATTTCTTACTCTTTTTTTCAACTTATTTCTTCATTATTTTCTCCGAATGAAACACACCCAAGTGACCTCAGCTTTTTCCTTATGTTCTGTATATTTCATCATTGTTAACTAGGAGGATGCGCTGCAAAATTTTCTACATGTGATTAACAGTTCAATTTTTTTATTGCATGGCTTTTATTTTGAATAAAAGTATAGGAAGTCAAATGAAAAACCGTAATTCAGCCTGAAAATATATTAAACTATGTAGAATGACAAGTTCTATGGCTTGCATCTCAAATAAATTAAATAAAAAAATGGGATTTTCCAAAAAGCTCACCAAATATGGTGTCATTTAGTTGACATCAAGGACCTGAACAAATTAAACATGCGCTGAACATCTATAGCACAAAGAACTTGGTTGAGTAACCATTAGTACAGTTAAGAGAATTCAGCCATTTCCATGCTGATCTAGTCATTGACGAATCATGAGAAGTGGAGAACTTCCTTCTTCAAAGTTGGGACTTCAATTCATCAGCCATTTGCTTTGCAGATGTTCAGTCACTCAGCTGTAGCAGGAACATGTGCGAAGAATCATGATTAGTTCATCTGTCAATTACAACCTAACTCTCACATGCAGAATACAAGCAAATTGAAGACATGCACACGTAAGCAGTGATATTTCAAAATAGAAAGATTAAAGCGGCATCACTGTAGGGTGACGCTCTTGTTCACTGTTCCTTCTGAATGTGAGCTACCAACCATATTCACAACCTGTAGGCAATCACTACTCCACTTTAGCAGCCACAGCTTTATGACGATCGATTAGTATTTCGTTCATTTGTGCAATCTGGTTCAATAGTTGGGCAATTTTCTGTAAACAGAGGTAACCAGCAGTTACAAACGAAGCCAAAACAAAGGAGGACTAGCTAACCGAGTATTAAAAAGTGTACATATTCAAGAGCATGAATCAAAAGAAATGAGAGAAAGAAAACATAAATACATTTGCATAGACCTTGTTTAACCCCCTCTCCTCGTTTGGGCAAACAAGGTCAGGTCATTCTTTATTGTAAATTTTCTCCATTCCATTTGCTATATGACTCCTGAACCTTTCTTACCTTGCCACTGTAAAAAATTGTTCTGACCTTAAATTTCTTAACAATGTTAGGTTCACTTCAATCCAAATATTGTTAGTTTTAACTCCCATGGATTTTCATTGTTTTATTCATTAGAAGGAAGATAAAGGTGTTCACAAATTTATATTTTAACCTTGATTCTTAACCAATTTGAGGCTTTTTAGTGGAATGAAACAAAGCAATCACATGATTAATGCAATATAAATCCCATGCCACACAACAATAGGCGATTGTTGTCTCCTTCCGTTTTTTATAGGCTTAACTATACTATGGTTAACTAATACACCCAAAAGAGCTAACATGAGCTAAAACCCATAAAATGGGGAAATTTTATGAAAGAAAAAAATAAAATTAACGAACCTGTTCCTTTTGCTTGACGATGGAGATGAGACGAGCTTCATTGGGTGTGAGGGTTCTCTTCTTCTTCGTGGCGATGATGATCCAGCAGAACATTAACAGCGCCGCAGCGGGAACCCCAATTGACCAAATTACCCCTTTGTTCCTGAAAGAGGAAAGCTTGGAACGAATGATCTGGAGGGCGATACTGGTCCAGCCGCGAATCCGAGAATGGAAGGGTGAGGAAGAAGGAGGTGATTGGGGGGTGTGGTTGTCTGAATATGGTGAGAGAATTTGGAGGTTTTCGTGGTGAATTGGGGGAAATACCAAATCGTCCTTGTTATCGTGGATTGACCAATCATTTAGATTTGGAAGTGGTGGAAGTTGAGGATCCACATTCCCCATCATGCTTCTTCATTCAACGAAGCAATCACAATTTCTTACTTTCTCATTTTCTTTAATTCATTTCATCAGTTCTCGCTGCACTCCATTGTAAGGTTCTTTGCAAAATTTTAAATGTCTAACATGTATAAATTATTTCTCACTCGATTGAAGATGCACAATTTATGCTAATTAAATTATAGATAAACGTAAGTTACCCTAAATATTATATTATTCCATATATAATTCAGATTCAGATAATTATAAGTACTTTTACGGATTATCGATGATTTCAACATTATACTTTTTTTCTTAAAAAAAATATTTTACTTTTCAAACAAAACAGACAATGATTCTTTAATTTCCACGTAAATTTTATTGGATTAAATAGTTGTATGGATTCCTAAAAATTGAAATTAATACATTTTTTAAATTTGATTCAATTAATTTTTTTATATTTAGAAATATATAGATTTAATCTTTTAAATAGTTTTTACTAAATTTAATTAATATTTTAAACACAATTTATAATAATATTTGAATTATTTATTCAATTTAATACATATAATATTTAAATGAAAATATGTCGTAATTAAAATATTATAATAAAACGTTAAATAAATTTAATAACATTTATTTAAGATGATTAAATATACTTATTTCTAAAAATAGAAAAGTGAGTTAGTTAAAATTTTAAAAATGAATTAATTTTAATAAATTAAGAAAAAAAACATGTTTAACTCATCTTATTTTTCTTCTTCGTATGTTTAATGCCACAAAATTTATTTATAATAAATTGGTGGTATTTGATTATTCAATCATAATAATACAAATTTATTTAAATTGGTGCATTCAAATTTTAAATAATATTTGGTTACATTCAAGTTTGTATCAAATTAAAATTATTTCCTTTTTGAAACCTGTGTTGTTTATTACAACCCAAATGTAATGAAAACAAACAAAACTGAGTCATATTATATAATCTGATCGAATTATGTAAATTATTTCCTTTTTGAAACCTAATTATGTGAATTTATATATATTTTAATCGAATTTCATAATGAGATGGAGTCCTCATCTAGATTTCAGAATATGGTGTATGACCCGGATTTCATATACCTCATATCACACACATAATAATAATTTATTTATTTAATATATATTTTATAGGGGTAAAGTAGGAGCTATAGAAAACTTTTGGGTGCAGAAAGCAAAACAAAACAATCGGTACACGAAGAAACGCCAGAGAACGGACTATTATCCAATAATGGATGTTTCACCCTACAGCTTCAAGGATTTCACCTGGATTTTCAAATTCCAATTTGTCCTCTAATTAATGATGTTTCATGAATATTATAATGATAACGGTATTATTAATTATTATTATTTATTTATAATCTTATTATCATATATTAAAAATAATAACATTTGTATTGTGCTTTTAATTTTAATTTATGCTGAAAAGTTAAAAAATTTAATGACAAATGAAATTAATAAAACGTGTGCTTGTTCAAAAATGAAAAACATATAAAAGTTATTATTATGAGAAACAAGAATAAGTATCCTATCTCGAAATCCGATTTTTCTTAAATCAGATTTCGAGATTCAATGTTTTTCTGATACAGTTTTTTTTAATTATATTATTTATAAATATTTATTAGATTATTTTAAAACGTTTTATTATATTATTTATAAATGTTTAATTAGGTAATTTGTATGAATTAATTTAATTTATAAAAAATAAATTTATTTAAAATTGATAAATTTATTTAAAAATGATATGAAAAATTTAAAATATCTTTTAGGTAGTGTTAAGTATTATTAATTTATTAAAATAATTTAAAATAAATATTAATATTTACAAACAAAATTATTTAATTCATAATTAATTCAAATATTTATATATTTATAAAATCTAAATATTTCATTAAAAAATAATTATATATCTTAAAATTATAAAACAAGATATTTTAATGGAAATTGAGAATTCTAGGTAAAGATTCTTTTACTTTTATTAAAAATTAATCACCGTCTTAATGGAAGATATTACACATATTTTAGAAAATTTTTTAGAAAATTTTGGAGGTACGGTGAAACGCTGTGGAGTAATTATCTAAATGGACCATCAAAGACCAAGGTCCCAAGAGGTTTGAAAGACTCTTTCATTCTTCACCTTCAAACATTTCAATATGCATCTCTAATTTTCAAAAATAGTATTAGGGTTAATTTTTTTCATCGAATTTCGAAATCATTTTTTTCATCGAATTTGAAATTGGATGAAGAATTTTTTTTTCATCAAATTTCGAAATCGGATGAAGAAAATGAAAATTGAATTTCAAATTACAAAATGTGGGATGTATGATTTTTTGAATTGTAGAGAATAATTTTTAAATTTTAAAAAAATTTTGAGGTGGAGGATGAAATGATAAAAAATGCAGGGTAAACAAGTCTTTAGAAAATTTAGAACCCTTCAACATTGAAGCATTCTTAACACGTGAGAAGGTAAATAAGCTTGTGACCAGGATGACAAAACAAACTAGGCCATAGATCAAATTTTTATTATTGAATATAAAATATAATTTGTATATTAAAAATACTTATTTATCATAAATTCGAATCATAATATTATATATTTAAAAATATGATTTTACTATAAATTTTAATCACATAAAATAAATATCCATGTTGTGGAATGTATAATCTAAATGATACTATTTCTTAAGAGCAATGATCATTTATGTCTGGATGCATAGCATCATGCGAAAACATAATTTTTTGTTTGTAAACAGATTCTAGTTTGGATGTTACTCGGTTTGTACTTGCTGATTGATGAAATCTGAAAGTATTTTAGGAGAAACGACCATGGTTAGGTCCAACGTTCTACCGATTCTAACAACCTTTCTAACATGCAACAATACTTTCTTCTTCTCCCTCTCTCTCTCGCTACAAACAAAACACCTCTCTTCTGTTCCTCCAACTGCTGCATGCACCCTCTCCATACATAAAACCATCTTTATTTCTTCCTCTTTTTCATGCTTTATCTTCACCCTTCCACCACCCTCATTGTCCAACCTCAGCAATGGACGTAGAGAACAAAGGAACCAGACTCAAACCTACGTTTCTATTATTCCTTGTCATTCTTCACCTTTTCTTTTCCACCCTAGCCAAATCTTCTTTCACACCTCATGTTAACTATCTCCTTGATTGTGGCTCCTCCCACCCCACTCAGCTCACAGATGGAAGAACCTTCAAATCTGATCGTGAAACCACTTCTCTCCTAGCCACAGCCGAAGATGTGCAAATATCACTTTACTCAAATCTCTCCCCTTCTGTTCCTTCTTCATTGCTTCCTTTGTATCAAACTGCAAGGGTTTTTCAAGAGGAATCCACCTACTCCTTTTACATATCCAAAACTGGTAGACTTTGGGTTCGCCTTTACTTCTTCCCTCTCTCTAACCCTTCCTATAACCTAACAACTGCTGTCTTCTCTGTCCAAACTAATCACCATGTGCTCCTGCACGAGTTCTCCGCCAGGAACAATGACTCACCTGTTTTCAAGGAATACCTTGTTAACGTTTCTGATAGTAGATTTTCCCTCAAATTCAAGCCCAAGAAAGGCTCCTTTGCGTTCATCAATGCAATTGAGGTTGTCTCAGTCCCCGACGCTCTTATTTCGGATTCAGCAACTGCACTTTCCCCACTTGGTGAATTCAAAGGCTTGTTCAATTCTGCTCTTGAAGTATCCTACAGAATAAACGTTGGTGGTCCCACCATAACTCCTGACGACGACACTTTGGCAAGAACATGGGAAACTGATGGTTCATACAACATCTTCCCACAGGGTTCTGAGACTATTTCTGTCTCCAAAAAAGGCATAAAGTATCCTGATACTAGGGTTACACCTACGATTGCTCCCAACTTGGTTTATGCAAGTGCTGTACACGTGAAGAACGCTACATTCATGCTACCGAATTTCAATCTCAGTTGGATGGTGAACGTGGATAGGAGCTACTCTTATTTGATAAGAATGCATTTCTGTGACATTTTGAGCAGGAGTCTTAATCAGTTATACTTTAATGTGTACATCAACGGGATTGAGGGTGTATCAGCTTTGAATCTATCATCGCAAACCAAAGCTCTAGCCACTGCTTTTTACCAGGACTTTGTGTTAAATGCACGGGATATCACAAACGGTTCCATTTTGGTTCAGGTGGGACCGACCAATCTCCCACGTGGCCCGACCGATGCAATTCTGAATGGATTTGAGGTGATGAAGATTAGCAACATCGCAGACAGCTTGGACGGTTTATACTCTGTTGATGGGAAATACAAAGGGCCATGTTCAACAACCATGGAAATGAAAATTTTGGCTTATGTTGGAANTGTTAACGTTTCTGATAGTAGATTTTCCCTCAAATTCAAGCCCAAGAAAGGCTCCTTTGCGTTCATCAATGCAATTGAGGTTGTCTCAGTCCCCGACGCTCTTATTTCGGATTCAGCAACTGCACTTTCCCCACTTGGTGAATTCAAAGGCTTGTTCAATTCTGCTCTTGAAGTATCCTACAGAATAAACGTTGGTGGTCCCACCATAACTCCTGACGACGACACTTTGGCAAGAACATGGGAAACTGATGGTTCATACAACATCTTCCCACAGGGTTCTGAGACTATTTCTGTCTCCAAAAAAGGCATAAAGTATCCTGATACTAGGGTTACACCTACGATTGCTCCCAACTTGGTTTATGCAAGTGCTGTACACGTGAAGAACGCTACATTCATGCTACCGAATTTCAATCTCAGTTGGATGGTGAACGTGGATAGGAGCTACTCTTATTTGATAAGAATGCATTTCTGTGACATTTTGAGCAGGAGTCTTAATCAGTTATACTTTAATGTGTACATCAACGGGATTGAGGGTGTATCAGCTTTGAATCTATCATCGCAAACCAAAGCTCTAGCCACTGCTTTTTACCAGGACTTTGTGTTAAATGCACGGGATATCACAAACGGTTCCATTTTGGTTCAGGTGGGACCGACCAATCTCCCACGTGGCCCGACCGATGCAATTCTGAATGGATTTGAGGTGATGAAGATTAGCAACATCGCAGACAGCTTGGA